CATTTAGTTTATAAACTATGACATTTATAAATGTATGAATCATTTGGTGAAAAACTGACTTTGAAAAATAAATCTGTTCTTTTTTCTTATAAAAGACTAAATAAAACAAAATTATTGGTGGTAATTTCTGACTGTGTGACTTTAGGCTCCCCACACACGTGCATGTCGGAGGGAATAAAGGAGGGATCATGTTTTAAATAAATATTTTTACTCAGAGTTACTAAGTTAGAGGAGAGGACGCAGCTGATGGATGAGCTGCTCTGACGGAGCAGGAGTTCCTGCGGAGGCGCACGAGAGAGGAGAGGGAGAGAGGCGCGCGGGCACGACTGCTGCCCGCTTTTTAACAATCAGCCCTGATGAGCGCAGATTGGTTTCAGTTAAACCGGCGCAGGTGCGTCGGATGTGCGGCGATGTGGCGCAGCTGAGACCCCCTCTTTCCCCCGGACTGGACCTTCTGGCGCATCTTTGAGCAGAAACTCTTCCACGGACGGGGGGGCTTTTATTTGTTCCCGGGACATGATGTATCGTGCAATAAGATCCTGTCCAGGACTCATGTTTGGGGGCAGAATCCGACAGGATCTGGACTGATCCAAAGGAGGGAGCAGACAGAAAACTGTCTCAGTTTTTGCGCACAGGACCAGTTGAAATGAGGACATCCCGGCTGTGCTGCGACTGAACAGTTTTATTCAGAGAGGAGCTTCTCAAGGACTCACAGAAAAAAATAATAAATAATTTATATAAAAAAAAAAAAGTGAGGAAAAAAAGCCGCGAAGCATGGAGCGGGACGCGCCGTCCAAGAAGACCATCATGGCGAAGATCTTCAAAGTTCGTAAGAGGAGGGAGATGATGTTCGTGCAGTTGTGCTTCATCTGCAGCGTCCTGCTCGTGGCGTGGAGCATGTCGGCGCTCCTCACTAAGACAGGTGAGCGGGAGGGTGACAGGGATGCACCCCGGGGGGGTGGGGGGGCGCTGAGGAGAGACATCTGCAGTGGAATCACGCACAAACTCCAGCACTGAGCTGCCTTTTTTTTAATCTAATTTTTTTAATGTCAAGGGCAAACAGGGTGAACCGATCAGCCTCCCTCCGATCTGTCATTCTCCATTTTTAGGCTTTAAGTGAACTGCGCGTTCAGAGGTTTCCGACATCCTTTTTGCGCACGCTAAACCGAGTCAGCAGCGCGTGCGGTCAGGTCACAGCCTCTTTAAAAAAAACCTGAAAGTACACTCTGTAACTGCCGCAGTGTGCGCGTCACGTTTTCCTTTTTTTTCCTCTTTGAAATCAAGAGCCAAGCTTCACAAATCAAACAGATGAGAGGTTTTTACGCGTTTTTATTTTTGCGCCAGGTGTCTGTGCCGACACACTTCCTGCTCATGATTTTTTTAAAAAAATGCTGCCATCATGTCGTCTGACCCTGGGGAGGGGAGGGGGGGCTCCAGACACTCATCATCACTGCTTCACTAAGATCACGCACCCCGCTTCCGCATGGCGATCAAGGGATGCCGATGTCTTTTTTGCAGAAACCACCGACGGGGAGGAGGAGGGGGGGAGGGAGGTAGCGGGAGTCAGAGCCGCACGATTCCGGCAGTTTTGCTCGTGTGTGCGTGCAACACACACGCGCGCGCACAAAACTGCATGTCCTTTTCGTTGCACACGTGTAAGGAACTCTGGCTCTGGCTCTGGCTCGTGCAGACAACGCAGAGAGCATCCCACACAGCCCCCCTCCTGCGCGCGCTTATGTAATCTTAATGGCCAACCTTGACTTTTTTTTTTTTTTGCTGCTGAGGAATAATATCCGACACAGCGGAGGGATCAGAGGTTAACTAGGACCCAGTCATCCCTTTTCCCGCGTCTCGCTGTTCACACAGGAAATCACGTTGAGCAATATATTTTTAAAAGAACTAAAATAAAGCTGCGTTTGGGGTTTGAGATGCATGACTTGATTGAATTTTGAGCTGAAGGTATGGAGTGCCGTTTGTAAAGTAACACAGTCAAAAATTACCACCAATATTTTTATAGTTTTATTTAGCCTTTTATAAGAAAAAAAAAGAACAGATTTATTATTTCTTTCATTGTCTGATACCTTGACTTCTCAGAATTATGTTTTGTATTGTGGTATTAATTTATATTTTCAGATCTTCCAAGGTGCCAATTATGGAACTCTCTGTGCATTGTTGCCCAAATCAAATTCTGGAAGTGGTCATTCAACTAGATCTGTTACAAAAGGACAGAAAAAACTGATATTACCAACTTTTAAAATCTGTTACGGCCAGAGGTCTTTCTTCTATGTTTATACTAAAGCATGGAAT